ATCTATCTTTAGCTATCAACAGCTCTGGCTCTGACTCTATGACTTGGGGATGATTCATTACGTTTACATATCAGTAACCAGTAACGATTCAGCCCGTGAAAGTAAAAGTAAAAGTGTTAAATTAATCAAAAATATGGAGTGGAGTAAAAGTAAAAGTCGGGAAAAAATATATATACTCCAATAAAGTACCGATACTGCATTTTGGTACTTAACTCATTGACTGCCAAAGATGTCTATAGACGTCTTTTATGTTTTTCAACGAGAGTGGCTGGGGGACGATCTGCTAAAGCTTGTCCGTAAATATCAGGCTTCTAGACAGAGTATGTAGTAACAAATTGACCCTCTAGGGGGCAGTGCCACTTTTGATGGGAGATGAGCATAGACTGTAGGCAAATAAGAAAAAGGTAACGGTTCGCTATGAGAGAACATGTCGCCGGTGAGACGCAAGTCCAGGAAGAACAGCATAAGGTAGAAACAAAAAAAATTTCCTGATGAAAGAAAAGAGTCTACTCTTTCTTTTGGTGTGTTCGGTGTTTACATAGTCATAGCACAAACTATTCTGTGGCTCTTGAAAAATCAGTCCAAATGCTCAAAAAACTCTGGCAGTATGGGACTCTCTGTTCTGAAAATGGCTGGCAGTCAATGAGTTAAGTACAGTCCTTTTACAGTAGTTCTACTTGGTTACTGAACATCTCCCCTGACTCCCCCCCGTCCCCAGGACCTGCTGGTGTTCCTGTACCTGGAGGGGCCGTACACCCGGGGCATCTTCCGGCGCTCGGCGGGGGCCAAAGCCTGCCGGGAGCTCCGGGACCGGCTGGACGGCGGCGCCGAGGACGCCGAGGTCGCGCACCAGTCCGCCTTCGTCATCGCCGCCGTGCTAAAGGTAAACGCCATAAAAAAAAGAGAAGAAGAAGAAGAAGGGTTTAGGGCAGGGGTCTCAAACTCCAGTCCTCGAGGGCTGCTATCCTTCAGGTTTTAGAGGTTTCCCTGATTCAACACACCTGATTCACATCACAGATTTTTAAATATTGATTTTATCATTAAAGTCGGAGGTCTTCAACAGGGGGTCCGCGACCCCTAGGGGGTCCTGGAGGTTTGGTTGATTAGACTTTTTTTTTTGTTACATTCCCCCCAATTGCAGTTTTTTCCACTAATGTAAATGTCTTTAAATCCACATTAACATGAATTCAGCAGACTGTAGTAAACAGATAAATGGAGGCAGAAGATGTCTTTCAGTCATCAACGCTCCCCCAAGTGGAGGCACATTTTTAGGATCAATTTTCACAGTTTTTTGCCTCAAAACTTGTTTTTTTTGTGTCGCTGTTTGAATTCCGGGTTTAATTTAATTCAGGATGATTTATATCAAAACTTTTAGATAGATAGATAGATTTTAGCATTTAAGTCGGAGGTCTTCAACCCCTAGGGGGTCCTGGAGGTACTGCATGGACTCGCCCAAGTTTTGGTTGATTAGACTTTTTTATTTTTACATTCCCCCCAATTGCAATTTTTTCCAATAATTGAAATGTCTTTAACCCTATAATGCCGAATGTATCATATCTGATTCATACGGTTTCTGAAGTCTTTTGGATCTGAGACTTTTTGCATCATTCAGTGGTAAAAGCTTTGCTCAAACCCCTGTTGTACACATTCAGATACACCTGATAACAGCCAGTAGAAGACTACACCAACATATATTTTTGACTTATTGCACGCTAATTTGATCAAAATAATGTCTGTTTTTTTTTCTTCATATGTTGTTGAGAGGCCAAAGAAAGACTTCAAACAAAAAAAAATCCAATATTCTTCCTATTTTTCTTGGATCAGGCTTTAATGGGTTAAATCCACGTGAACAAGAATTTAAGCAGTTTTTTAAACATAGATTTTATCATTAAAGTCGGAGGTCTTCAACATGGGGTCCGCGACCCTTAGGGGGTCCTGGAGGTACTGCATGGGGGTCGCTAAAGTTTTTGTTGATTAGACTTTTTTTTTTTTACACTCCCCCCCTGTAACTTTTTCCACTAATGTAAATTTCTTTAAAACCACATGAACATGAATCCAACAGACTGTAGTAAACAGATAAATGGAGGCATCTATCTATCTATCTATCTATCTATCTATCTATCTATCTATCTATC